AAATTAATTAGAGGCCTTAAGCCTCTTTTTATTTATAAATTAGACCAATAATTTTATATTTAGATTGACTGCCCCTCTCTAAACTGTTTCTCTACCATATTGAATTGCATAGTATCATATTCTTTTGCTTTGCGTCGAATCACGCTGCATCGCAATAGGGGTGAATCATATCCCATTAGCCGTTGCTTCATATGTATCTTTAATGTCATTGGCAATGCATCCCCAAATGTGACCTATGCAAACACACACGCAGGTGTGAGGCAAAAGTTGTTCCCATGGAGCCGACCCATCAAGTAAGCCACATTTGCGAAAGTGCATTTGCATCAATATTAAGGCGTGCAATGCAAAAACTGCAAATACAAAGGTGTTTACCACCAACCAAACTGTTGCCAACAGCGTACGCGATAGCAGCTGCTAGATATTCCGTTAAGCATCTAGAGTGAATTGCTCAAATTATTGCCTGGCATTTGACAATATGAAAGGTTACTGGGTAGCAACAAGCATTAATGTCTGGCTGTTTGCTATGATTTATTTCGCCCACAGACAGATATTCTTAGCACCAAAATAAAGTAAGATGTCAGTTACTAGTTGCAAGCCTGTTATTTATGTGTGTTCCTTACAACCCCTATGACCCTCACAAGCAACAGGATCAGTTTTAGTTTTTACTAACCATCAGGGATCATCAACCTCTCCGTACATAAACAGATGTGTCCATAGGATACATATCTAAATACCGTGTCTGTGGGAAAAAAATACATTTTGATCAAGATGCCTGTCAGAATTCACCATGGTGTTCACCCCTGCTAAATCGTCATTAGCCCAAAAGTCATGTGATGGCACTCTGCAATACTAACTCGTAAAGCATCATTTCCCCAAGAAGGCCCTTGGGGACCTGCAGACAGTCCTCGTTTTTGCTCCCTCCCAGCGGGAACAAAAATGTAGTCTATCAGGCAGGGAGCAAAAACATGGGCTGACTGTGGACCAGATTGGGAAACACTGTAGTAAAGCATCTAAACTCAAAGGCAAAGAGATCCAGTTGACGATATTCAAGAGACTGAATTCCACACATCACTTTACTAAAATTTAGTTATAAAATATCTGAATGTTAGTTATAAAAAGAAAAAAAAAACAAATCTCAATTTTTGGTCCAGGTTATCCAAATATGCATGCTATAAACAACCATATTGTGGTAATTTAATAAAAAATTTCACATCCATTCCAGGTAGAAAAGTGTGCAAGCAGAAAAGTCAGCAATATCAATGAAAAAGGCAAAATGTGAAACAGGGAGCGAAAATGAGTGATAACACTGTGAGTTCAGAGATCACTAGGAAAACTGGGCAGGAAAGCTGGAGCAGTCATTGTGGTACTAACATCAACCTGAATGTTTACCTAAAAGTGACATTAAAGCCATTTCCAGCAGGCAAGGAGCTGCATATCCCGAGAAAACCATCACATACCAGCTTTTCGACCTGGATACATTTCCACTGCCATCTGTGTTACAACAATTTACATTTTACAAACATATTTAGCAAATAAAACCGGCAAGTATTCTGAGAATCAAGAAGCCATGCATAACAAAAACCCGATTTCCATTCTAATTTTATTACCGGGGTGAATTAAAGAAGCAGTAAACACAGGGAACACCACATCAAACTCCCCTTTAAAAAATTCAAATGAACCACATGACCTTCACCCAAAATAAACCATATCAGTCATATTCAAAATCTGAAGTCCGGAAACAGCTAGAAGCCATGTTTTGGTGCTTTAAGCAAGTGTACCCTATTGAAGGGATGCCTTGAGTATCTTCACTGCTTAAATCAGAACAATCAAAAAGCCAACAGTACAAGATGCTGGGCTACACTAAGGTAAAGCTACCCCCATTTCTGTGACCACACACCAGTCAAGGCGGAGTGCAGAATCCTTGGGTGTTAAAACTCACAGGCCCGCACTGCTTCCAATTGACCCTTGCTGTGGGGTCGGCAAGCAGACCAATGGCAGTCATCTCCGAAAATGCTGTACTGTAGTCCTATATGCAGTGTTCCCCTGCACCTCCAGGTCAGCCTCACGCTACCATACACCTCTCTCTCTCTCTCTCTCTCTCTCTCTCACACACACACACACACACACAAACAAACTACAGCTGCTGTGTATAAGTGCTACGCTATGACAGGACAGGGCTGATGGAGACAAAGGCGTCAGTCAGAACATGCTGGTCCCAGACGCAGGGGTGACAGCAGCACAGGGTGGGGGGGGGGTGGTGGTGGTAGTGTGTAGGACCACAAGGATAATTGTTCCACTGCGCCAATTTCCGTGTACCACTCCCAACCTCTAATTTCTTCCCCGCCACCCCTCCAGCCTACCACATGCATGCACCCAATAGGGAACCGCCGCCAAAGAGGACAGGAGGTGGCAGCTGAGTGCAAGGGCGACATCCTCAGGGGCCAGAAGAAAGCTTGGGAAAATGTCCCCCGTGACTCTCTGGAACAGACCTACCCTTCTAACTACCAAGGGGGGCCTGAATCAGCTTCTGCTGTCACCCCGGGGAACGGAGCATGGCTTACTGCCAGCAAAGCAGGCAGTCAGGGTGGCAAGGGCTCACAGAGCAGAGCAAGCGCGCGCGCACACGGACACGCACACACACACACACAGGCACCACCCCCCCAGAATGGGCTCCCTCTTCCCGGGCAGCTGAATGACCACTCTGTTACAGGCTCCGCCCTCAGAGGGACAGGCAGGGGAGCACAGTAACACACAGTTAACAGCCTGAGGACACCAATGCCCTCAAACAAATGGTACGACGACTGGCAGCCCTTGGAGAGGCCATTAATAAAACCACGAGCCAATCATAGGCTCAGAAAAGCACAGAAGCACTCAGTGCAAAAGTACAGAAAGAGGCAAAAGAAAGTATGTCTGCCGTCTGCTTCCAATGGCACGTCTCCCCTCCCCCAACGCGCCACACATATCCTTAAATCGCCCACATTCTCCCAGCCATGGAGCCCCAAACTCCAGAGGCCTCAAAGAGGAAACATGCAACATCTCTCCCCCCCCCCCACCCCACCCCACCCCACAGGGCCCCACAGTCTTCACAGGGGATGGAAGGGAGAAAGGGAAAAAAAAAAACACAACAAAAGAGGGACAAAACTGTCCAGCAAAATGGCATCACCCACTCATCCCGATGCCTTTGAAACTGCTCCCTGTCTGACAGACAACGTAACCCCTCACTCACTAACACAAACCCGACACCCATTCCAAATTCCTAGTGGCGTGTGTAAGTTCACGAGCAAGGGTTCATGTGCTCCTCCTGGTCTTCCGCACAAACATAGCTCAAAGAACGTGCCTTCTTGAACTTAGCCCGTCCAAAATTACTCAACTTCCGCCCCATAGTGCAGTCTCAATATGGCAACAGGGAACAGACACGGGTTCTCAAATGCCCCAAAGTGATGGAACTCAGAGTAGAAGGATCAAACTCTTTAAAGGATCAATTTTTTGGCCACAGCGAGGGTGGTAAAGAGAAACCAACCTCTTACAATTTCCCAATCAACTGACAACACATCGCTAGGCTGTAGCATCTGTGGTCACCCTGGCCCGAGACTGGGCTTGCCGAGACATGATGGGAGGACCCAAAAGAGAATGAGTCCCCTTTCCCTCATAAATAAAGAAGTGGCACCATCCAGGCCAACAAAGGCCCAAGCTGAGCAGGCTGCACTCTCCATAGAAACCCTCTACAATCCGCCACCTCCATGTGGGGGACGGGGGGGCTGGCTCATTGTTGAGGCCTTGCCGAGCAAGCTGAGAAACAGGGGATTGCTGTCCAACTCCTACCGCCTGTCTCTTCCTTCACCCATGGTGGCCAGGAGCATGAGAGAGAGACTGTGTGTGTGTGTGTGTGTGTGTGTGTGTGCGCACGCACATGCGCACATAGAATGCTATGTGGGGGACGGGTTGGGCAATGCAGAAAGAGCGGGAGAAGTGAAACGAAGACAAAAAGGGAGACAAAGACGGTGGGAGAATGACAGGACGCGCGTGTTAGGAGAGCAGCCCAAAACCACAAGCCAGAATTCTACCTCTGACCCATCAAATTTCACTCACTACATCAGGATTGTCGGGCTGCATCTGCCTGCTCACACGCAATGATCCAAAAAATAAATCCCAACAGTCTTAACCCAGGACCCTAAGCATTGATCTGTTTCTGAATCTGAGAGCTAATCATGAGGCATGCCCGTTTGATTTTGATAGCTCCCCCTTGCAAAAAAATAAATAAAAAATACAAACAAAATTACACAGCATGCTACTGACTGTTCTAATCCACTGTGATAACTAGATTCAAGTGAACTACACACATTATAATACCAGGCTGCTTTACTGACAGCCTGACACCCCTCAGGAAGCGGCAGCCTTGACAATACTCCAAGCATACTTAGAGCTAGGACTTGTGTCTCTGTTGTGCAATCTCATTTTAAGGAATAGGAAGACCAAGCACCTATCATTAAATGATTGTCAATTACCCCCAGTCAAAAAGGTACAGCCCGCTTATCTTGGAAACAGAATGGTATGACCAGATCCTCCAAGCGACTTGCGAACATACTCAAATAATGACCTTTGGCGGTTAGTTACTGAGAGGGGCCTCACTTCAAGGGAAATACAGACCTCCCCATATCGTATGTCACTGGGCCTATGGTCGGTTTTGTTTCAGTAGTAAAGGGCTTCTGTTTCATTTCCAGCAGAAATTACATCCAGAAGAATGCCCCCGCCACCCCCATAAACCCCTTAAATCAAAGCCCTTTGAGTGACTCAATCTGCCTCTGACTCATTGCACGTGCCTCCAACAAACCCCTCCACCAAACAGCCTCAGTTCCAGAAGCTCACTACAAACTTTGTCCAGAGAAAGGTCCCAAATCTCCCTGTGGCAGAGTCATCACTGATTACAGTACCAAGGTGATCATTGCATCAGCAGAGCCCCAGGAGAAATATCGATGGCAGAAGTGGCACCATGGCGATGATGCACAAACTGCAACAGTTCTAATATACATTTTCCACTGCTAACATATCAGAAGTATTATTAGGTCCGAAAATGCTGCTGAAATTCAGATGCTGATATTGAATCCCTACTGTCAGCCAATTACCAAATAAAAAAGCCACATTGTTCTTTCCCGATGTTAACGTCAGCAGGACTAAAACAAACCTACGTGTCAACGCCAAAGGTTGAGACAGAGCAATCCCAGCTTCCTTCATTAAAGTAACTGTAAACCTACTCGGTCAACTAGACACTGCTCTGAATTAACACATCTGGTCAACAGTTGTTTTGTTTTCTTCCAGCACCTTTCAGTGTAAAGTAAATAAATGCAGTTCAAAACAGACAGACTTACATTATCCATGTCCCTGGCTTGTGTGAATTAGTTCAAAAGTAGGAGGGTTACGAATTTTTCTGTCCAACTCAGTTTCACAAAGTTATACAGCTAGTAGTTTACTGAAGTGGTTCAGGGTAAGTACAGCAAAGGTTCAGTGTACAGTTAAGCTCAGAGTTCAGTGGCACTACAGAAATGTCTCATGAGAGTGACACACACAATCTGAATTTACACCCTGGAAATCTACAACTTGAAGAGGATTTATATATTAGCTGGTTTCACCTGGGATTTTCCCTTGTCTTCCATCAGCATAACCGGCTTCATGGCTCCCCAGGTGCATCTGACCCAGGGTGTCACACAGTAGTGTGCATTTCCCTGATCACTCACAAGGTGGCCAGGTTTCTGTTGCTACTTGCGCACAGACCCGGATTAGGTCTCAACCCCACCCCCCCTTAACTTGTAGTTCCTAGATTTAAAAGGAGGGATTTGGGCCTAAGCGTTGTCTGTATTTACGGACGCACATCGTTTGATAATAAAACTATACAAAATGCACTGGTGGAAAACAGCCGCTTTAAGATGTGTGTGTGTGTGTGTGTGTGTGTTCGGGGGCGGGGGTCTGTTGGAGTTTAACTCCCCCACCCCACAGACACCACAAGACCAGCTAGCTAATATCCCACTCCTTGCCGTGACTCATTAACAATGCGGTCAAGCTGGCCCTAACGCCGGCCCAGCCACTTCGGGTGGCGGCGGCTCCTGTCAGACACACCTGAGGGGGGAGGGGATCAGTCACCACCTGTCCGCTACAGCCTAGGCCCAATGACGTCGACAAACAGTCACTTTCCCCTCTCCTTAACAACCACACGACACCCCGGATACCCTGACCGCTCCCGGGGCCGCTTCCCCACCACGGAACCGGCTCGTAGATGTCCGTGTCGCCGTGCTAGCGACTAGCCAGTTAGCGCGTTAGCCAGCCAGCAGCGGATCCCAGTCGAGCAGGAGCCGCCTGCTGGATCTATCCTCCTCTCGCGCACAGACAGCTAGCCGGCTAAAGTAGCTCGTTAGCAAGCCGGCTAATTAGGGAAGGACAGACTTCTACACCCCCGCCCCGGTCGATAATGAAGCAGCCACCGAGCCGTACTGTACAGGACATTATTCGGGCTCTTTCCGGGGGTCACGGAGGACTGGACGATACCTGTAGTTCCGATTTCCATTCATGAGGTCTCTATCCGGTTCCTCCCCGGCTCTCAAACGTCAAATCCCAGCAGCTGAGCTCTCAGGGGTTGGCTCCGTCCGGTTCACCCAGTCCAAAGCCCTTTATTTACCCAGGCGAGGACGGTTTTTTCCACTGGCCGGTTCCGTCGCCGCCAAACGGGCCCCTTTCTTGACCCGGGGGTCCGGCTGGCCGGTTCTCCTCCGCGGCCCCGTGTCTGACCCCTCCGCCGGAGACCCTCTCTCTAGTCTCGGATTCGGTTTAATTTTTCTCGTCTGTCGCCGGTAAAAAGTCGTTAAGAAGCCGCTCCTTCCGCTGGACTCGGGGGCTCTTCAGCAGTATTCGCCTCAGCTTTACGTGTCTTCGGTCCGTCGCGGCCCGGTCGTCTTCTCGACACCGGCGAGAGCGCTGTCCCGTCCACTAGCGTTATCCCGCTGACGAGCCGGAAACCCCGCGGTGTACTGCTGATCGTACGGCCGGCCCCAGCGACCCTCCGTCGGGGAAGTCCTCGCACAGCGACGCACTCGGCTCTCTGACGGCGCCCAGCGGAGGCCTAGGACTTTCATTGGCCGCCACGGCGCGTCACCGTGACGCGCGGCGCTCGTACCGTCCCCCGCAAACCCCCCTCTGAAAGAACGTCCCATTTTTGGACGGCCGGCGAACAGTGAAGATGGTCCGATACGCGAAGGGATACTATCCTGTCATGGCCAGATTAATACTTAGAAGACACCCAAATGTAGCAAATAGTGCATGTCTCTATAACTGAGATGGACATTCTCTTTTAATGTGGACCTATTAAGAAACTTAATAAAACCGTATCGTATACATCTTCAAGGTATTCTCATCTTAAGTCTTTTACAGTTTCAGAACAGAAAACGATTTTCATCATATTTTAGTGTATGTTCCTCTGTATCGGTGTGCGGCAGCTGAAATCACACACTTGAATCAAACGGAAGCATAATAATTATCATCAGCAGTCTGTATTTTATGCTGGACCCTAAAGAATCTAACCTTACTGGTTACAATACGTTGCTGTCATCTCCTTCCGCTTCCATTTACTTCAAATTAAAAGCTTACATAGTTTTGTGACAGATGTGGTAGAGAGAGAGGAAATAGAATAAGTTTATTTGCAAAAACAGTAAAACTGTGGGGGGAAAAAAAACCGAGATATGCTTTATATACAAATACGTAGGCCCAACACATGGTACAAGAATACGTACCACAGACCACTATAGTCAACACTCAACTTTTCTTTTCTTCACAATGAAGTCAGTGAGAAAGCAATTCAGCAGTGTGATATTTACAACAAATAGATTATACCACCTTTGTCAAACCCATTGTAATTCTCTAAAAAAAAGCCCATAGAATGAAGGGTACAGTTTGTAAGCATTTATTTTATGTTGTAAACTCAATGTGACACCATAGAGTACAGTTTCAGAACTGATGACAAAATAATCTGGATTTTTCAAAACCAGTACACAGACCATGCCTCTTTTTTAACAGCTTGCTGACAATATTCCAGCCAAATGAATCAACGGTATCATAAGTAAGCCAGTGAAAAGATAACTTTGGGTGATTCCCAGCTGTCAGGCAGGGACCGAACAGATCAATTCCATTGTGATGCCCCCTTCAAAATAAAAAAGTTACTAAAAATGATTCGTAACAAAGCAAACTACTCAATCTGCTTACATTATGCTGCCTCTCATTTACAGGAAGACAATGCCATCGATGTTTAGCTTTATGGTGCTTTCACTGCTCTGCCAGACGTGAACCTTTAAGCAGGTTGGGCACAGAACAGTAATTTAATTATAGTGGTGAGTCACCCATCACACCCACTATTATCATAATTCTAAGACCCCCCCTCTGACATAAGGAGTAGAAAATTTATTTGCCTTTACCAGAAAATAATCCTACACACATAGTAAAAAGTCACACAGCCACTTCAAAGACGACTTATCTCCAAGGATACCTGTAGATAAATTTTAATTTTGTACAGTGTCATTTGTCATCATAACAGGGAGTCACGATAGTTGCATAAATGTTAGATACCAGGTTTGGAAGTGAGACGTTGACAATGAATACCATTAATACAGAATTCCTGGATGTGGACAGTGATGTGACAAAAATTATGTTTTTGAACCTGCGGTGGGTGGGATTCTGAGATACTTGCAGTCTGCTTAATGCCGTATACCCATTGGCTGCTGGCTAGAAATGATCGCACTGCTATTCCATCTATTTCAAGCTTGGAAGCACCATTTTCATGTCTGTTTTAAAAGGTGGTTTCTGATGTAAAATTGGATTTTGACTAGAATCTTACATGAATACCTAGACTGTGGCATTTTCCTCTGACATTTGTCAATCCAGTGTGTTTTTAGTACAAAGTGGGAGTTTACCAAACACTAGATGACACTGGAGCCTGCGACTGCTGGCATTCAGCATAACCAGTCCAGCTGGGCTGTCCCCCTTAGTTTCTCAACATTCTGGGGACTTTTGTTTGGAAGAAAACCACTTTCATCCAGAGATTAGACAGTGTCTTCAAAGCAGAAAACAAAACACTGCCATTATTACAGAAGACAAGAGGAAGACCTAAGTGGTGTATCCAGTTTTGATGGATTTCTCCATAAATACAGAGGCTTCTTCAACATATAACACAGAGTAATGCAGTTAGCATAAGCGTTTCCTGAAGTAATTATACTTTTGAAAGTACATGCTGTGCTGTACATGCTGAGGTAGATGGTACTACATCTGAAACATGGGAACCTATCTTTGCATTAATAGTGTTTCATATGGAACCCACAGCACAAACCGACACCCCAACATGTAACACACGTAAAACCCAATTTCCCTTTGCCACCCCCGCCACACGCCTACAACTCATCTTTTATCCATCCACCCATCTAATCAATTATTTATTACAGAGTCGCAGTGTCATTTTCTACCCATCATATTTTCAATGCCATTTTTTTTTGTCCATGTCCTGCTTATGGGGAAGGCTGGGTAATTTCTGTGTGAAACACCCAACATGTTTATAACCAGGAAAATGAAGATCAATGTGCAATCTGTAGTGGGGAGGGGGGGCTTTTGTACACAGCTGGGGAAAAGTACAGAAATACTACATGGCACTTACCAAGACGAATATAATTCCAGTGCACTTCTGTGTTACTCAGGTCTACAGATTTACATGCAATTTACAATCCGAGACATAGATCAGATTAAGATACCAAACCCTGTCCTGGGGAGATCATTCCTCAAGTGCCATTTGAAGCCACAGCAGAGGACAGGATGAGGCCAGAGCACATAGCAGCCTGGACTGTTTGACCTGTACCTGAGAACCTTGGAAACCATCACACGCTCCGGACAGCACCAGAATATGCAGAACAGATGTTCCCCATCTGCATCTCCTAATTACATTATCATGGATATGATATTACTTTTAAGAACATCAGATCTCATGACCCCTAGGATTCTAATGACCATGTATTTATCAAGCCCATTAGTACCTGACTCAGTTGTGCAGCAGGTTAAACCCAGTAAAAGTTTTAACTGGCTGGTGCTGTGGGGGGTGTTTAGGGAGGGAAGAGCTGCTATTGGTGTGACACCCCTCCCTGAACTGAAACACGACGATACTCAGCAACGTGGCACAAATAAAAAAGGAAACACAGGTAATAAAAAACATTTATTTTTAAAAAATAACCCTCCCCGTACGTGACCCATACTATTTCATACAGAGCGGAGAGAACTGCTTTCCACATGGTTCTGTTCTAACTTGGACTGAAGTGCTCTGCTTGGGCTGGTTTCTGCAGTGGTACATATTGCTTTTGAGTGGGGCAGGGGTGACAGACTGGGGGTGATAGTCCCTCCTCCGCATCAGTCGCTTGAAGTGCATGGACGCTGACCAACGATGACGATTCCCTGTGTTGAGGAAGAGTCCCAGAAATGGAACACGTCGACTGTGTCACTGCTCCTCTCCAGACGCCATTGAAGGCTAACCGTCATCCTCACAGAGAAGTCCGCTCTCACTTTCTAGAGATGAGTGAAACACAGCTAAGGGGGGGGGGGGGGGGGGGGGGGTGTCAGCAAAAATCAGGGAAGTGAAGGACAGGCCAGTCTGCAGTGCCCCCTTGAGTAGAAAGGATAGAACTACACTTGAGAAGCCCAACACCTTGGGGAGAACCAGAAACCAAGGTGCAGAACACATTTCTGGGATTCTTACATGGTGCTTCACTGGTGAGGATGGAGGGAAAGGTGCAGCCCTCAGGCAGGGCAAAGGAATACTGGGATCCCAAAGCCGTGTGCTGCCTATACGTGCAATACCCCCCTTCTGTGCCAGCACCTGCGGGTATTTGGCGAGATAGATGGGCACGGGGGGAGGGGGTACAGCAACCAGAAGGGCGAGGTGAAGAAAAGGAAAAATAAATTCACCCAGGCATGATAGGACAGGAATGCTGAAAGGAGAGGCAACTGGTGGGGGGGGGGAATGTAAACACTTGTCGCTAAGGTGGAGCAGCTCTCGGTGAGGTATGTGATGGTGTGTGTGTGTGTGAGAGAGAGAGAGAGAGAGGGAATGCGGACATGCCGCTCTCTCTCACACACGGGAGTGAGCCCGGGGAAACCGGTGGGGGTGCTGGTAGACGTGAGCAGGGAGTGGAAGGCACGCACAGCTTGGCGTCACCTGTCACCGCTGCTCCATGGCACATGGGGGGGCTAAAGAGGAGCCCATGTTGTGTTTTGATTGTGTGCGTTTCATAATACTGCCCCCCTACCCCCACACCGAGAGTGGAAGCCTGGTTATATGAGCACCAGGAGGAAGAGAGCCGGCCCATCGGCGCCCCCCTTGGGTCAGAAAGAGACCATTGGGCACCAAAAGCAGGTGGGGGGAGGGGGGGTTGGCATATTCACAGATCTTTAGCTCATGGGTGGTCTGCACCCCCAGAGCAAACAAGGAAAGAGAGAAAGGAGGTATTTAAAAAAATAAAATAAAGTAGATGTCGACCCAGCTCTGAGGCGTTGGGGCCGAGGACCGGTTCTGGCCTTTCTTCAGAGTCCGCCTTCGGGTTCCTGAGCTGCCGTTTCACAGGCTGGTGTCTGCTTGCCGTACAGTGTCCGGCCGGCTGCTGCCGCTGGTTTGGTCCGGTGTGCCGATGTGCATTGTGTACTACACGGTCCCTCCCCATCCCCTACGTACCCCCGGTAGCTGCTAACTCTACGGGTAGACCTACTTCCTGCTGCGCTCCCATTGGCCGCTAAGGCACTCGTTTACATCTATAGTGTGCTACCCTGCTCCGAGTCTGTCCTACTGCCCCCCAGATCACCCACACAGGCCCCCAGGGAGGGCGGGTGCGACGATCTAATCTGCTACCGCTAAGTGCTAATGTACCATGCTTCCTCTGGCCTCTTAAAAAAATATCAGCTATACCAAGAATGCGCCGGGCGGGCGTCATCCCGGGGGGCGGAGTCAGGGCCGTGGCGCCGGCTTCCCCTTCACCTCCTCCATATTGCATACATACACGTGAACGTGAAGGTAATACACAATAATACACATTAAAAATTTTAAAATTAAAAAGCCCATCAGGACAGAAGGAGAGAGCAGTCTGGCTGATTGGACTCCACCCATGGGCGGGGCTCCGGCAGAGATGGGGGCGTGGCCCAGCCCACCATGCTAGCTCAGGCGAAGTACATGGTCCGCAGGGTGTCGTGGTGGATCTGGACGGCCTTGGCCAGCGCCTGGGGGTCCCGGCCGTTGCTCTGCCCGGAAACATGGCTGCCTTCTCCGCTGTTGCATGGGGGGGTGGGTGAGGGAGAGGTCAGTGAGTGGTTTGACCTACACAGTGAGCGGCGCTACAACCCAAACTTGGGAATTTCACCCTAATTATTTGGTCCTTTAAACCCAAAGACGAGATTCTGAGTTGTGGTTCCTTACAAAATATCGTCTCGTGATCGTTCTTGTGAAGCCGTATGAAACATCCACAAAGCCCCATCGTCGAGCTAGTCTCCGCCCAGCCTGCAGCCAGAGCAGGACACGGGTACCAGGTACCGCTCACCTGTCATGCTCCTTGTCCACCAGGTGGTATCGGGCTCGAAACGCCACCAGGCGGGCATAGTAGGCGGGCGCGGGGATGGAGACGGAGCGCGTGCAGCGCACGTAGGTGTGGCACAGCTGGTAGGTGAGGATTTGCAGCTCGTCGGCGGTAAAGCGGTTGTCGTCCCAGAGGACGTAGTAGTGGGACGGCCGGCTTGTGCCCTGGGGGGGGGGGTATATTCCATCAGCGGCTGCAACACATGGTAGAGTCTCGCGCAAATACCCCGGTCCCGACATGAGGGCTCACCTGTATGCCCGCATGGCTGCACAGGTAGAAGTCGAACTCGAAGGGGTGTGTGATGCTGGTGTCCACCGTGGTACCTGCTGGGATGTTTCCACTCTTCCCAATCTGACGATCAGAAGACATTTCAAGCAGTTATCAACAAACACAAAGGGGGTCATAACCGCCTGCTTTTAGGGCATCGTGGGCATCAGGTGCCAGCAGGACCAGGAGGCCCACGCCTGCTCCGACGGACACTCACCCGCTCAGATTTATCGGCGCAGAAGAGCCGCGTGTGGTGGCGTTTCTGCACCACGATGTAGGTGATGCCTGGCTGGTAGTCCTTCTCCAGCTTGATGCAGGCATCTCGGATGGCCAGCAGCTCGTAGTGCAGGATCTGTCGGGATGCAGCAACATGGCTCAACCTGAGAGAGAGAGCAGCCTTCTGCCCCGCCCCTCCCTCTCCGACTGCGAATCATAGCCCACCGTTGGCCTGGCCTCGGCCAATGGGAGAAGCCGCATACCTGAGGCAGCTGCCCCTCAGGGACGCCATCCCTGTAGAAGATGATGCGCGTGGGCTTGAAGCGGGTCGACTTGTAAAACTGGATCAGCAGCTCGCGCACCATGTAAGAGAGGTCCTCGATCACCTCCTGCCGGGGCCGCTGGACCCGCACTGTGGCGCAGTAGCGGCTGGGGTGGGCGTCCATACTGCCCACCACCTGGGGGTGGAGCAGAGCGTGAGGCAGGGTTCAAGCCAGGGAAGGGGCAATGGTTCTGTGTTTTTTATGTAGTCATTCATTTCTTCAGCTCTATGCTTCATACATCCAATAGAACACAGTAGAAGCCTCTCGTTCTGTCATTGAAGGTCTTTCTGAACTTCAGAAAGAGCACGAGAGAAAGAGGTAGAGAGAAAACAAGGTCACAGGCAAATGACGTCACGCTGGCCGTATCCAAGGAGGCGCTGAAGAGCCACATCGTCCTCGAATTGATTGTAAGTAACGGAAGAAAAACAGTGCAGTTTGCCTTCCGTTCAGGACGTCAAGGTGAGAAAAAAAATAAAAAGCTTACGTCTACAGGGGCGCGGTGTGTGGGAGGTACGCGTGCACACACACACACACACGCGCGCACACACACACACACACACAGGCACACAGACACACACAGGCACACACACACACAAACGCGCACACACACACAGACACACACGCACGCACGCACACACAGACACACACACGCACACACAGACACACACACGCACACACACAGATGCACGCACACACACAGATGCACGCACACGCACTTTGCAATGGAACATGAAGATGGGAACGTATGTAGCTGGTGTTAGCTGATGCTGGTGATAACGGGACAAAGACCAAAAGCAGATACTAGTGAAGGGGGGGGGGGGGGGGGCGGGGTTGCCAAACCAACAGCGGTGACAGGAATGGGAGAAAAACAATGAGAGATACAGGCAGAATAACTAGAGTATGAGAAGTTTCCCTCCAAAGCGAGAGCAAGGACATTTACCACACCGCTTAAACAAACCACAACAAAGAGTAACGGCTGCCTATCAGCCTGGCTCATGCCACAGCCACCTGAGCTTGTAACGACATTAAAACACCACACTGTGCAGAGCAGGAGAAAGGTCACGGGGGGCACGGTGCAGGCCCTGCGGGGGCGACAGGAACAGCACCACGTCAGCGACAGTGCGTCAGCCTCTTCCTGTTCCCTTACCTGTCTCTCCTTATTGTCACCACCGTATCGCACCCCCCCGTCTTCCTCACCCGACCCTGCTCCCGCTGTCCCGGTGAGTCAGCGCTGCCTCATCGTTGCTAGGCAACGAGGCCCTGGCGGTCAGGCACGCGGCGGCGGGACTCCAGGGAGGCGTCATTTCCTGCGCGGGCTGACTCATGAAGGACCCCCCCATCCCCTGCCCCCGCCTCCGCCCCCGCCGCCCCGTTTGTTCTTTCTCTCAGTGCCAAGCGCTGGCCGTTGAAGACAGTGGACGGAACCACAAACCAAACTCGCTACAGTCTGCTTCTCACAGTTGGCCCGACCGCAGCGCCAACATCTGTTCCTACTGCCTGACTCAGTTTGGTTTCACCATCATGTAGACCAGTGTCACTCGTGTAGAAGAGCGCCCTCTAGTGGACTGCCAATGTATAATGTCTGGACAGTATGGAAAAATTAGATACGCAGGTACCTCTGACCCTGTTCGTACAGCTGCTCACCACAACTACTACATCAACTGCTATCCTTCCTCTACTCCTCCAATGTGCCAGGTTTCTGCTAGACATCAAAATCTGGGCTACAGCCATCCACAGCCAACCCCTGATGACGAAATTTACGTCATGACCCCTCGAAAGTACACCGAAAGTGAAGTATCACGTGGGCAAAATGTAAATCCAGGAAATACTGGGGAGGGTAGAGGCATTTGACTCGATTCTCTGTGACCGAGGACCGCTTTTGTCTCACTGATATGAAGTGACGATTGGGATTCTATGATTTCTGTAATTCACCCGGGTCTCGAGAGACCGAGGTGATAAAGTCATCATGACTTTGCGGCAGATGGGCGGAGGGAAGGGGGGGGGGGATGGGGATGGATCACCGCTGTGATGGAGGGCTTCTTCCCATCACCGGCAGGGGGGTGGGTCACATCGGCCCCCAGGAAGATGACTGGCTGCTGGAACACTGCTGACCTGACGGGAGATCACAGAACCATGTTACACACAGTGACACAAACAGCTCCTAGCAACGATGGGGCTATTATAAAGTCACACTCACCGCTGATGTGGCACCAGGATGTTGTTGATGCCGCCCAGCTTGACGTTGATCTTGAGGCAGAGGTTGGACAGGGTCTGGGGGGACGTCTTCACCACGTTCTTCACCTGGACGCACTGGGTGGCCATTCCCAGTAGGGTGTCTCCTACCCGCTTCACCTCCGCTGCGGCCAAAAAACAAACAAAACGCGTACAGTACGATAAGCTACCATTATTGCCTGCATCAACTGGAACCACTCTGACACACTGTAGATATACAAGTCCTGTTCCTTAGGTATTTGCGTGCGATACAATCACATACCATAGATGCTTCTGAATGCATTACAAAGCACATACCAAAGATGATTTTGCGACCAGTTCTTTGAATTTCACGAACACAAACCACAGAAGTATTAGCTGACCCCAT